AGGTTGGTGGTTTGGCGGTGGGTATTTTTCTCGGCGGTGGTGCGGCTGATTTCGGGGTGACTCCATTGCTTAGAGTTGATGAAGTTGCATGCTCAGCCCGATTTACACTAAATTAGTGTAAATCAGATGTTATTACATATTTGTGTTTTTCTTAGCTTGCAACTGATTAGAACTTATTTGACTTAAAACTTATCATATTCTATCTTATTCTCTAAATTACCCCACTTAAGTTGCAATATTACCTTTCTAATTCACTATTTCAATTAAAATTTAATGCTCTTCTGCAGCATAGTGGGAGCATTTTCCACATTTCTTGTCTTTTCAGGAAGGTTTCAAGTGCTAGAAGTTATGCATATCTCGAGATTTTGCTAGTTTTTGTAGGTGTCATATTTATGTTCAAGCATATGATTATAGTCCCTCCCAATTAGCGTAAAAATGAATGGTTTTGGCTAATTTTCTATTAGATTTGTCGCATTCATTTCATATGTATAGTTTTGTAGCAATCACATTTATACAGTTTGTAATCTAGATATTTAATGGAGCTCTTTTAATTCCAGTGCAGATCTGTGTGTACCAAATTATGAGTTTAATTTTTGATAGAATTTTTAAATACATTTAAATATTTGATATTTCTATATCTGTATTTTGTAGATAGGTTAATGAGAATTGATCACCAAATATATAAGTTTGATCAACAATGAAGAAACAAAATGTTATGGGACAATTTCTGTACTAACAAAATGTTATGGGACAATTTCTGTACTGAGTTAATCATCACCTGGCCTTATTATCTTGTTCAGCTTTTAATCATGGTAATCAGTGCTTAATTCTATATTACTCCGTATAATTTGTCTTTTACCTCATTTATTGATTTACATATATTTTTTTAAAATCTACTCCGTATTATATTTAGAGAAAATCCAAGTTTATACTCCCTCCTTCCCTGAAAGAACGACATATTTGGCCTAATTTTAGTCCCAAAAAGAATGATCTATTAACATTAAAATACCCACCAATTTGCAATAATTTTTGTGCAAAATTAGCTTCTGTATATAAAATTTTGTTTTTCCATATACTTTTATTACTATCAACTTTTTTTGTAAATTCCATGTAAATTTATCTTTCCAATATACTTTTACTTATTTTTATTTAACTTTATTAAGGGTCTGTTCTCTTACATTGAAATTCAGTTCAGTTCAGTTCAGTTCAGCTCAGCTCAGCTCAATTCAGTTCAGTTCAGTTCAGTTCAGTTCAACTCCTAATTTCCTTCTCTTATAAAATATTCATTTCACTTCAGTTCAGTTCAGCTGAGTTCAGTCAATGAGAACAGGCCCTAATACCCGTGAAATCAACCCTAAAGGGTCGTTCTTTCGGGGACGTAGGGAGTATTATTATTGTACGGAGTATTTTTTTTTTAAATTCAAAAGAGGCATAAATTATATTTCCTCCTTTTTTATTTTTTATTTTTTTTAAGTCGACACCTTTTGATTTTTACACTATTCACACAATATCCTTTAACTCGCATTTGTGGTTTATATATACGATAAAATATATTCACGTGGGATCTTGTTTGAATCGCTTCAATGTATATTTTATTTGGTTATTTCACCAAATGCCACTTAACACTTTAATAATTCACTAAATGCCATCAAAGTTTTCAAACTTCACCAAATGCCACCCATTTTTCAAAAAATCCATCAAGTGCCATTAGGGTTTAATCATGACACACGTCATGATATGATTGGCCCATTTATCTTAATTTATAAGAAAACAAAAAAAAAAACCCAAAATTTTCCCAGCCACCTACCCACCACCGCCAAACCCTAGCCCCTCCCCTTATCTCGCCGAAAAAGGGCCGGCCACCCCTTAACCACCAAAAATCGGCCGGCCTGTCCTTTAGCACCCCAGCTAACCCACCGCCGACCCCCAAAACCACCCACACAACCTGCCCTGACCCTAAAAATCACCAACACAAGCTTTAATCAAGCACCCTCTCCTTTCCTCCGTCGCCAAAATCGCCCCTCCTTCCTTTCCCCACCCTTGAAATCGGTCGTTTTGACGGTGGGGTGGTTTTACGGGTGTTTTTTTGAGGTCAGCGCAGGGCGGCAGTGTAACACCCCTGATTTACTAGCTAATAATAAACATTAAATAAAGGAAAAATAAACAACCTTTAAATAAAATTGCGGAAGCATACTCCTAAATCAGAGGTATTACCGCCACACTTGACAACCTGTCAAATGTTAAGGCTTACAAAATCCCAATAATTACAACCCAATAATCTAGGTGAGCTATTTGTACAACTTTACAAACTCGTTATGACAAACTAATTGAAAACTTGAGCTCCTTTAGCTACGATCATCACTTGATCAACCTGTTAAAACAATCTTGACTGCTCACCATTAAGGACAAATTCCAAAATAGATCGTCGCAGGGCCACCATAAGAAAAAGACATGGCCACAAACATAAGTAGCACAACAAAATAACACACACGTCAGCAAAAGCTGAGTAATCACCACATATCAGAATATAGAGTATAATATAATAATTAACATTACTATATCAATTAAACAATGTAGTTCGAAACTACATTACACATTGTACTCTGAAAAATAACCTTTATCAACTAAACCTCGAATAATAATTCGAACCTTTACTCAATATATCCCATAAGTGTGTCATGCTCGTTGTTCTATACATAGCCTTGAACATGGGTAATTCGAATAAAACCAACAAGTATAAAAACTTGAATACTCCCAATAACCAGAAAACACCTTGAACCAGACCACATACGGGTCAATTTCCACTGTAGGGGACCATAGAAAAATAAATAAAAAATAAAGATTGTACCTCATTCTTAACTCATGATTATTACCCTCTTACCAACAAGCCAAGGACTAAGTTATATAACGCCGAGCCTCAACCCAAGAACAAAACAATAATTCTCAACCATTTGATCTCATACATCAATCAAATAACCATTCACAAATTAATTTATAATATCTCAACAATGGCACCGTTCCCAGATATCATAATAATTCGATTCAAAAACATCTCAATTCTTATAGAACTAATACTAGTACCCAAAATTAATCAAATCTCCACCCGAAAATAATACTCTGCATTAACAATCCTAAAACCTCGATAAAACATAACTCCCTATAACAACAACATTAAAAACCCTAGAAATAACACAATCAATCAATGCGACAATTAAATCATATAATACCACACACTAATCATTTACATATAAATCATGATCCTATATAATTCACAAATTATAAAATTTAGACATAATAATACGGAGTACAATTAATACCAACAATTTATAATCAAACAAATCAAAAAATTAATTAAGGTAGTGTGATTACATAAAATAAATAATACAATCAAATTATAAACAAACGATCTAATTAAGGGTTGATAGTGTGATTACCTTCGACAAAGTACAACGGAATGACAATATTCAAGGCAAATTATATCAAGTGACGTGTTGCAATTTGTGTAGCTTTTCTATTGATCTCACCATATAATGATATAAATTATTATCATCATCATATTAAACATTAGATATGATGATGAGAATAAAAAGAAAGAAAAAAAAAAAAAAAAATTGGTCTGGTTTGTTTCACGCACAGCCAAAGGAATGAATACAGGTTAAGTCTTGGCGCATAGCGCCTATTGATTTCTAAGCATATAGGATGACAATTTTGCAATTAAAAAGTACTATTCAGATAACTTATATTTTAGTGGTACATTATTCATGCATAATGGTACATTATATGTACCATTAGAGAGTCAGCTTTTTCAAGAAATTGAAAGTTATAGGATGGTAAAAAGTACCACTACACTCGTAATAGTCCACAAAACGTACTATTCAGACAAATTTTACTTTAATGGTACATTATACATGCATAATGGTGCATTATAATGTACCACTAGAGAGTCAGCTTATTCTAGAAGCAAAAATTGAATCAGCGGAAATTACTTCCTTACCCTCCTATTTACATAACTCGCCCATAGGTGCTATGCGCCCAAACTCACTCATGAATACACGGCTCTTTTTTTTTTTTTAGTATCCAAGCAACAAGAATCCTACTTGATATTAAATAGGGTTTAAAACTTACCGAACTCTAAATTAAAAATATGAGATTAGGAAAGTTATTTAATAAATAAAAATAACGATTATTTTTTTAAAAAAAAATATAACATAAAATCATAAAATATTCGGGTATTACAGGCAGGCTGTATGGGTAGTTTTTTGGGGTGGGGGAATCTCGTATTGGTGGTTTTTGGGGTCGGGGCAGGTTGTGTGGGTGGTTTGGGGGTCAACGGTCGGTTGGGTGGGGTGCTAAAGAGCCGGTCGACCAATTTTTCCAACCTATGTGTTGACATGTGTCACTCAAAACTAAAAAAAAAAAAAAAAAAAAAAACCTTTATAAGAGGTTACGATCACTTGTTTTCAATTTTGAACGAGTGACTCCAAAGTTGGAATTATTCAAAAATAATCCAAAGTTAAGATTATTTTGAACTATTAGTGGTCAATTTTTCCTTCTATGAAAAGGGAAATAAAATCCTTTATCCACCAAATCTGGCGCAAGACAAGCAATGTATTATCTTCATACATCATACATTCAGATAATCAATACATAATCAACTACTTTATTTGCACGTTAGTCATGATGTACTCCTAGTGTTACTCTCCTGCACGATGAATTCCAATAACTTATTTTTATTTTATTTTATTCTACTATTAATGCAGTTTTAAATTAAAAATTTGAATAGAATCGGAATGCATGTTGATTCCAAATTCCCAATCGAGAATGTCAATTAAATAAAGAATAAAATCTAGATTTGTATAACCGTAAGTCATATTGAGCTGGATGCCGACGACTAACCAACAATAATTTGTACTTTATAATAATAGGTTGCATGCAATGAAATCTTACTAGTTACTATAAATAGGGTTCGGGTTGTAGGGTTAGAGGCATCCTCATTAAAAACTACTAGAGTTATTAAAAAATAAAGGCAAATAACTTTTTTAATCTTCTAGTAGTAGCTACTTTACTAAAATCCCAAAAATGGAGGGCAAGAAAAATTATGTATTAAAAGTATTTGTCGTTCTTGCATTAGGTAATTTTATAATTATATATGCTTCGTAACTATATTTCTAAAATTGTATTGAGTTGAAATTTTATGGAAAAAAAATAAAATTACGACGTTATTAGTTATATGTTTTGTTATTAAAATCTACAAAGTATTTTTTTTACTAGCCAATATTAATTTTTGGTATGTATTGATAAATTTAAATTGCAGTGCAAATGATGTTGGTTGGAAAAGTACAAGGATGTGCTGGTGTTGGAGAAGGTTGTGGGGCTTTTAATTGGTGTTGTAATGGAGGTTCAATGTTCAGATTCCTTGAGTGGAGGTGTATGTGTATATGGTAAGCCTTAGCAAAGCCCCTATTAAAACGTCTATATCGATTTAGCCCTTTGTTGTACTCCGTATAACATATATGCGGAGTATAATGTAACATTATATATACTACCTCCGTTAACAGGTTATGTACGTCCAACGATTTTACATAAAGCAGAGAGAGAAAATGTCTAATCGTTGCACATAACCTGTAACGGAGGTAGTATAATACTCGGTACGTACGTACGAATTGAAGATAGTAATGCACGCTTCTGATGAGTGGGATGTTAATTTTGCAGACTCATTCTCAGGTTGCAAGGGGTTTTGGGGAAAGTTTGTGGATTTTTTGATGCTCCATGCTGTGGAAAGAGGGTTTGTTCAGCCACCCTTTCGGGTGGTACTTGTTCAGACTAACTGCGACGTCCAAAATCTTCAACAATATATTCTCAATTAATCATCATGGGATCATATATATATCTACTAAGGAGTAATATATATGCTACTGATGATAAGTAGTATTATTCCAGCATTATGTATTTTGATTTGTCATATTTAAATTGTTACGTGTATTTCACTTTTATTTCCATTTTAATCCCACTGCTCAAATTGTAATTCTCCCAAATGGATTTTGATTCGGAGTGCATAATAATAAGTTTTTTTTTAAAAGTATTAAGCATCGTTATCAATCTTATCAAGTATTGTACTGTATTTTGTTTGGATAGCACATGCACCTTTTTTTTTAAATATATTTTATATTTTGTATCATATTTAACATTTTTGAAATTTAAATATTGGAAATTTCTACATTACAACTAAAATCTATCAACTTATCGTAGGAAATTGAAACAATTTTAAATAGCACACTAATAAATGACCGATTTCATTGAACTATGAATTAGACAACATTGAACAGATATTATATCATAATATTGATTAAAATTAAAAAAAAATTAAAATTACAAAATATACGCAATTCTTATTTAAATTCATGTATAATACCGTTTATTTTTAAAATGTACAAATTAAAAATAGGTTTTATGTAAACCATGCATCGCACGGGTCTAACCTAGTGTCAAATAAAACAACCTTTAAATAGAAAAAAAAACATTGTATTTTGGTTTACCTGAAATGGAAATGAGGCTTTATATTAACGAACCGCACCCTTGCATTTCCCCGATGCCGACGAATCCCAACCCTGCATTTCCCCGAAGCCGACGAGCCCCACCCCTTCATTTCCCCTCTTGCCAACCACCCCTAACCCCGTGCCCGGTGCACCAACTGAATCCCTTCGCGAGGCACCGCCCTTCTCCCCTAGCCACTAAACGGCTAAACCATGATCCCCTTTCCGTCACACGAAACCTTAGAAAAACCTCCCAATCGCTCCTCTCCCTGAAACCTAGCGGCGGTGGAGGAGGAACAATTTGGGGGTTTAATTTCAATTTCAAGGGTTGAGAACGATTTGGGGGTTTAGGGTTGAAGATGGGTTTTTCTAGGATTTCGTGGAAGGAAAGGGGTTTCGGGTAGGGATTGTAGTTTAGGGCCGAGGAGAGCTGGTCGCCGGCGAGGGGAATGTGCTGGCCGGTGAGGGGAATGGGGTGGCAGCGCGATTTCGGCAATTGGGGGCAACGATGATGGGGAAGGGAGGTGGCGGTGAGGTGTTGGGGATGAAGGGGTTGCAGGACGGTGGTTGGGCCCACTGACGGAAACATTAACGGCAAAAGTCATTCGGTAGTGAAATATAAAGTTAGGGAATTTGTGTGGTAGTAATTTAAATTTTTTTTAAACAGGTAGTAAATGTGACACGCGCGGGGTGCTTTCGCCGGTAGCAAATGTCAGTTTTCCAGAAATTTTTAAATACATTTAAATAACTGATATTTCTATATCTGTATTTTGTAGATAGGTTAATGAGAATTAATCACCAAATATTTAAGTTTGATCAACAATGAAGAAACAAAATGTTATGGGACAATTTCTGTACTGAGGTAATCATCAACTTAATATCTTGTTTAGCTTTTAATCATGGTAATCCGTGCTTGATTCTATTATTGATTTATAATTTGTCTTTTACTCATATATTGATTTACGTATATTTTTTTTTAAAAAAAATCTATTATATTTAGAGAAAATCCAAGTTTATTTCCCTCCGTCTCCGAAAGAACGACCTATTTGGCCTAATTTTAGTCCCAAAAAGAATGACCCATTAGGATTAAAATACCCACCAATTTATAACAATATTTGTGCAAAATTAGCTTTTCCATATAAAATTTTGTTTTTCCATATACTTTTAATACTATCTACTTTTTTGTAAATCTCATGTAAATTTATCTTTTCAATATACTTTTACTTCTTTTTTATTTAACTTTATTAATACCCGCGAAATCAACCCAAAAGGGTCGTTCTTTCGGGACGGAGGGAGTATTATCATTATACGGAGTATAATTTTTTTTTTTTAAATTCAAAAGAGGCATAAATTATATTTCCTCCTTTTTTTTTTTTTTTAAATTGACACCTTTTGATTTTTACACATTCAAACAATATCCTTTAACTCGCATTTGTGGTTTATATATGATAAAACATATTCGCCGTGGGATCTTGTTTGAATCGATTCAATGTATATTTTATTCGATTATTTCCCCAAATGCCACTAAACACTTTAATAATTCACTAAATGCCATCAAGGTTTTAAAACTTCACCAAATGCCACCCATTTTTCAAGAAAAATCCATCAAATGCCATTAATGACTAACGGTCGTTAACTCCGTTAGTCATTAGGGTTTAATCATGACACATGTCTTGATATGATTGGTCCATTTATCTTAATTCATAAGAAAACAAAAAAAAAACCTCAAATTTTCCCCAGCCACCTACCCACCACCGCCAAACCCTAGCCCCTCCCTTATCTCGCCGAAAAACGACCGGCCACCCCCTTAACCACCAAAAATCAGCCGGCTTGCCCTTTAGCACCCCAGCTAACCCACCGCCGACCCCAAAACCTCCCACACAACCTGCCCCGACCCTAAAAACCACCAACACAAGCTTTAATCAAGCACCCTCTCCTTTCTCCGTCGCCAAAATCGCCCCGGCCTCCTCCC